GTTGTACAATTATTTATACCTTAACATTACATAACCCTCTATCCCCCACCCATGAACCCCACCCACTGACCTCCAAAACCCCTCAAAACAGGATCACATTACTAAGCAACAACTACCCAAATATCTTCTTTCACTGAATCCGCTTTATGGCAATCTTCAAGTTTACCTTTGTCTTCTTTTCCAAATACCCAAGTGCCAGCCTCCATTTGTTTGCAAATTCTTCATTATTTACTCCTCTGCTGCTATTTGTTAGCTTGGCCATTTGGATATAATCTGCTAAATTATCTCTCCAATCTTTAATAGATAACTCTTTTTCCCCTTTCCAAGTTTTGGCTATTATTAGTCTTGCCGCAACAAAGCAATATTGACAAATTTCTTCATCTCCTGCACTGATATCCATTCTAAATAATCCTAATAGGCACATTTCCGGGTTTTTCTTAACCTTTTTGTTAATCATATTGTTTGTTTCTTTCACCACTTTTCCCCAAAATTCTTTAACTATATTACACATCCACCATCCATGGGGAAATGATCCCTTCTCCTTCTTACATCTCCAGCAAGTTCCTTGTCCTGATAAGTCTGATTGTTCAAACTTTTCTTTTCCAAACTGAATAGTCCTAGAATCATAAGTTGTTCCTTTATACTGCTTGGTTTCCAGATCTTTGATAATCTTGTTTGCCCGTCTCTGGACACATTCCAGTTTGTTAATATTCTTCCTGAACTGTGGTGCTCAGAACCAAACACAGTATTGAAGGCGAGATTTCACACAGAGTGCCACTAATGTTTCTCTTGATCTGGAGACTTATATTCCTGTTGAGTACTAGCAGCCAAACACTGTCCACTCTGTTTGACAGCATCTTTCCGTTCCTTCTCACCTCAACAAAAATTGTGCAAGATATTGATCCTTTATTCGCAGGAGCTGTTAACACACAAATGGATCTACAAAAATCATGTAACAAAAGGAAATCCAAACCCCAAAAGATTACAACAGTGTGCCAAGTTTTTAACAATTTATTCCAAAATATTTATAAAATACATTAAATTTAAGAAACAGTTTATTATAAATTCCATTTCCACAAAAAGAGAGAAAAGAAACAGTGTTCACAGTCTGCAATTCCTAAAGATTGTTCAAAATACTCCCTCACCAACATACTTGCTGACAGAGAGGACATTTTATTTTGCTTGAAGACATAGAATGAAAAACAGAAAACAAAATAGACAGATATTTTTAAAATTAGTCTCAGCATTATAAACCAATGGTTTCCCCTTGCTGATATTCTGTACCTTGATCTGTAAATTGAAGCAGGACAGAGGGTTTCTTTCACAAAGGTTTCGTATCAGGGCCTTCAAAACAGCCATAATGTTCGACTTTACTTCTTTTTGTCATTATTCCTCTCCGACTGTAACCATGGGAAGGAAAGGATTTATACTGACATAACTTACCCATCTGGATTGTAGATAGGAGTGTTTAGCCCACAGACTTCCCATAGAGCTGCTATCAGCCTCCTCCCATTCCACTTCTTTAACATTAGTGGTAAGGTCTTTCTGGGCTCAGGATAAGGTCCAAACAAATGTCTCCTATGGCCCTTAGATTATCGTTCCAACCAAATAACAAATTTAGATTGGGACTATACTTGCAATGGAAATTACATAGCCCTCCAGATTTTGTTGGAGTGCAACTTCCAGCACTCTTTATTTATTTATTTATTTATTTATTTATTTATTTATTTATTTGGTGCACTTGTATACCGCTAATTTCTCAGCCTGGATCGGCGACTCAATTGCGGTTTACAGCAAGTTAAAAACAATCTCCAATTTAAAACATATACACATACAATAACAAATTATTGGGCCACCAATAATAATCCCATATGTCTCGAGTTGAAATCACAGTCCAGAGATCGTTGTCCATATTTTCTGTCCATAGTCACCAAGAATCGATTGCCACAGATTAGCCGAATGCTAGTTTGAACAGCCATGTTTTTAGTCTCTTCCTAAACACCATCAGCGAAGAAGCTGATCGTACCTCTGTAGGGAGGGTGTTCCAAAGCCGGGGGGCTACCACAGAGAAGGCCCTCTCTCTTGTTCCCGCCAGCCGCACTTCTGAAGCTGGAGGGATCGAGAGAAGGGACTCTCCAGAAGATCTTAGGGTCCTGGTGGGCTGATAGGCTGAGATACGTTCGGATAGATAAGTTGGGCCAGAACCGTTTAGGGCTTTAAAGGCCAACGCCAGCACTTTGAATTGAGCCCGGTAGCATATCGGCAGCCAGTGGAGCTGGTGCAGCAGAGGAGTTGTATGCTCCCTGCGCCCCGCTCCTGTTAGAATCATGGCTGCCGCCCGTTGGACTAACTGGAGCTTCCGGACTGTCTTCAAAGGCAACCCCACGTAGAGAGCGTTGCAGTAATCAAGGCGGGATGTAACCAGAGCGTGGACTACCGTGGCTAAGTCAGACTTCCCAAGGTACGGTCGCAGTTGGCGCACAAGTTTTAACTGTGCGAATGCTCCCCTGGTCACCGCCGAAACCTGGGGTTCCAGGCTCAGCGATGAGTCCAGGATCACCCCCAAACTGCGAACCTGTGTCTTCAGGGGGAGTGCGACCCCATCTAACACAGGCTGTAATCCAATACCCTGTTCGGCCTTACGACTAACCAGGAGTACCTCTGTCTTGTCTGGATTCAATTTCAATTTGTTCGCCCCCATCCAGACCGTCACAGCGGCCAAGCACCGGTTCAGGACCTCGACAGCCTCCTTAGTAGCAGGTGGGAAGGAGTGACAGAGTTGGACATCATCTGCGTACAGATGACACCGCACTCCCGAAACTCCGGATGATCTCGCCCAGCGAGATTACCACTCACCATGCTGTGTTATGGCTGCTGGGAATTATAGTTCAACTACATTTATAGGAACATACAATTTCCATTCCTGATCAATATTACAGATGTAGAGATAAACATTAAAGATGCTTTTTTTTTCTGTCACACCAGAAGTGACTGCAAATTCTGGTGTGACAGAATTGGCCATCTGCAAGGATGTTACCCAGGGGACAGCCAGATGTTTTACCATCCTGTGGGAGGCTTCTCTCATGTCCCCATATGAGAAGCTAGAGCTGACAGATGGGAGCTCACCCTGGTCCCTGGATTCAAACCACCGATCTTTTGGTCAGCAGTCCTGCTAGCACAAGGGTTTAACCCATTGCGCCACCGGGGGCTCCCTGATCAATGGGTGATGCTGCATGTCCTAGAACATAAGTAATCTTAACACTGAACTGTGTTATTGTGGGACATTATCAGCTTTATTAAATTTAGTTTTCTTGCCTGGTGCATTTCAAAATATGATTCAGTCTTACTAATATTCATAATACCAGTAGGAAGTAAATAAGCAGCAGAACACATGCTCATACTTGTTCACATTGTCTCACCAGCACCTTCTTCACTGTGTGCTAAATCATCTTGTCACAACTGATGCTGACATATCGCCTCTCTATTCAAGGCTCGTCCTAGGAGATTTAATATCATATACAGTAAAAGAGCCCATAATCATTTTAACAGTGTTGCTACATTGTGTTACAATTCAAAGACAAAGCTGAGTAAGTATGAAATATCCATAAAATGGTAGCATAACTTTTCATAGGTTTTATTATTTTATTTCATGTCAAAAGCATTGCATAAATAAGTATAAAACTTATTAGACTAGAGGGAGCACAAACAGCTAAATAATTTTAGACCAAAACTGGGCAACAGCGACCGCATCGTCTGTAGCTTTAAACAATTCTTCCTCTGTGCATGAGGCAGGGCATTGTGGGCAAGCATACAGATGCAGAGTTGTTTGTTCTGTTCTGCAGTCACACAGTCATAGCTAATTGTAAGTATGCATCTGAGGAAGTAGACCTAGAGTGCATCTACACCAATTTTTTTTCATGTCAGGAGAAACTTGAGAAACTAGAAGTTGCTTCTGGTGTGAGAGAATTGACTACCAGGACATGCCAAGGGGACACCCAGATGTTTTGATGTTTTACCATCCTTGTGGGAAGCTTCTCTTATGTCTCCACATGAGGAGCTGAAGCTGACAGAGGGAGTTCATTTGCACTCTCCCCGGATTCGAACCTGTGACCTGTCAGTCTTCAGTCCTGTCGGCACAAGGGTCTAACCCACTGCACCACCGGGGGCTCCTTAAAATTAATGCAGCTAGGCATCACTTTAATTGCTAGAAGTTGTAGTTTGATGAGGCACCAGCACTCTTTGGCATAGAAAGCAGAAGACCTTTTAAAATTATAATTATAATTATAAAAGTAATTACAAAAATAATTTTAATTATAAAGTAACTAAAACATTATTCTTAAACCACCAGAGGAGTGAGGTTATCCCTCATTGTATTGTCGAAGGCTTTCGTGACCAGGATCACTGAGTTGTTGTAGGTTTTTCAGTGTATATGGCCATGCTCTAGAAGCATTCTTTCCTGACGTTTCGCCTGCATCTATGGCAGGCATCCTCAGAGGTTGTGAGGTCTGCACAACCTCTGAGGGTGCCTGCCATAGATGCAGACGAAATGCTAGAAGAGAATGCTTCTAGAACATGGCCATATAGCCCGAAAAACCTACAACAATCCAGTTATCCCTCATTGATTTACACATAATACAGTATATTTTGTTTACACATCATTTATTGGGAAGAGGTATTGATCACAGTAAACTAATTACTTTTGCATTACTTGTAACTAGCAAATTCTGGTTAGACCAGACAGTTGAGGTTCAATACTGCCATGGCAAATCTCAAGGCTATGAGAATTTCAAAGTTAGATGACTTTGTTGTGCAACTTAAAGAGGAACCAAAGCAGAAGCAGACAATTCCTAATTCCATTCAGATACAACTAGGTCCAGCACTTCTAAAGTAGTGAGTCCCAACTTTGACTTCAACTCCGAGAAGTCCCAGCCAGACTGTATTCAACAATTCTAGGAGCTGAAGTTCAAAACATCTGCTGGACCGAAGTAGATGTCTATAATGATATTTTCTAACCAAACACAGTACAAGCTTTGGAAAGTCTCCCGACTCTTTCCAACTCCTCTAGCTTCTCCTGGGTATTTGAAATGCTGTCCATGTTACATTCTCGTCTGCAATCACTGCACATTTTCTGCTGTTCTCATCGGTACAAATCTGAGTGAGGCATCGCCATCATTGAGAGAAAAGAAAATGAAATGCCACAGGCATGGCTTATATTTCACAATTGTGGTTTAAACACCTCCGAGAAAAGAAATTCAGAATCAAGGGCAATGTGACCTTTATATTTGGGAGTATTAGTGTAATGAACAATCTTACAAAAGAAGGAAGGAAGATGTACCATACTCGAGGGGAGAAACAAATTGCTCTGAGAAGTGTCTGAAAGGCAATTGTTCTCTATCCACTCCTGGATTTCACAAAAGTAAAAAATTAATTTCAAGGCCTCCGTTTTGCAGAACTTGTGTTGTCATGATACAGAACAAAACCAGCAGAGACAGACACGATGCACTGTCGTCCTTTACTATTTGAGCTGAAGGAGATTCATATGCAGATTGTTCGGGACCTCGGTATCTGTTCATTTGATCTCTTCTGTAAATCCATATAATGCGGTCTTGATCTTAAGATTCGCAGTCACTGTGTAAAGATTATTTAATAAAATAATTAACTTGTTTTTCAGCATTTAAGCATGGAATCCTAATACAGTAGAGTCTCACTTTTACAACCTTCACTCATCCAACATTCTGTATTATCCAATACAGTCTGCCTCCCACCCGGATCCACAGCTGTTTCAATACATTGTGATGTTTTGGTGCTAAATTCGTAAATATAGTAATTACTACATAACGTCAATGTGTATTGAACTGCCTTTTCTGTCAATTTGTTGTAAAATATGATGTTTTGGTTCTTAATTTGTAAAATCATAACATGATTTGACCCTTAATAGGCTTTTCCTTAATCCCTCCTTATTATCCAACATTTTCGCTTATCCAGCATTGTGCCGGCCCGTTTATGACGGATAAGCAAGACTCTACTGTACATGTTCTTCCAATACATTCAATTAGATATGACTTCTCTCTTGTGGTCTTCTCTTGCTTTACAGATGGACAGCTACTTGTGGGTGAGAGGTTACACTGACCCTTTAAATGAGATTATAAAGGAACACCTTCACATTGTTAAAAATCAAAATGCTATGCTGTCCAGAGAGCATTTGTGCAATTTTATCATCTTTTTGCCATCTTTTTTTAAAAGTCCTCTCCCTGGATTCTAGGAAATATCTGCCAACTACTTGAAAGATGAATGGTGTCTGGCTTCTAGGAAGTGTAAATCAATCTGACTTTAATCAGAAAAGGGAAAGTCAGAGAAGTGTTGAGGGGTCAAGGCTACCAGAATAGTCAAGAGCTGCATGCAGCATTAGAGCCATGTTTTGCCCACCTTACTGAAACTTCAGAGTACTATATCTCAAGGATTCCAAATCAAAAAGCTGGTCAGCAGGTTGGAATACAGGTTAAAGCAGGCATGGGAAGACTTCAGCCCTCCAGGTGTTTTGGACTTCAACTCCCACAATTCCTTTTTAATTTTTTTTTAATTAAAGGTTGTCAATATATACATATAGGTAAAAATAGGAAGAAGTGTTGGAAGGATGGGGTAGGTAAAACGGTGAAGGTAAATCACAGGGGTTACTACTGGGGTGGGGTGGGGGGTTGTTGCTAGTGTTTCCAGAATTGCTGGTGATGGGAAGGAGGGAGGAAAACAGTGGAAAAGAAGGGGGAGGAGAGTTGGTGTTTTCCAATCTTGCTCTTCATGTTCAGTCTCTTTCATTTTCATATTTAGTATGTTTCTCCTTTTCTCTGTTTTTATTGGGAGTATTTTCCATGGATTTATCTAGTATATTCATATTATTATCATCTCTCTCTCTGAGTTCATATAGTCTTTAAATGGTTGCCAGTCGGCTGTCCTCTTGGATTTCTCTGTTACTCTTGATATTAATTGTGTCAGTTTGTCTATGTCCACAATTGCCATGACTTTGATTAGCCAATGCTGTTCAGTGGATAATTACTTTGTTTTCCAATTTCTCACATGCACAATTCTTGCCGCAGTTGTTAGATAGTTAAAGAGAATTTCTGTGTGTCGGTCCAAGTCCATATTCCTATCAGTAATTCCAAGTAAAAAGTATTCTGGTTTCAATCAGATCTTGATTTTAATAATCTTTTGAGATGCTTCCTGAATCTATCTCCAATAGCTTTTAGGTTTATCACATGTCCACCACATGTGGTAGAATGTTCCTTCATGTAATCCACATTTCCAACATTTGCTCTGTATATTTTTGTAGTTTATGCGGGGTAATATACCATATGTAAAACATTTTATACTAATTCTATTTGAGATCTATTGTAGTAGGCTGTTAGGAATTGTGGGAGTTGAAGTCCAAAACACCTGGCGGGCTGACGTTTGCCCATGCCTGGGTTAAAGACTATTATTTCCACTGAGAGATAAATTATTTTCTCAATGTATTTCTCAAGTTGTAACAAATAATAATGATAACAAAAAATACAGTACTAAAGAAATAACTACATCCCATTTTACAACTGGGGTTGTTTTTTTTTAAGGCTTTGATACAGGCACCTTGCTTTTCTATGTCTTCCTTTGCTCCAACAGCTTTATTGACATAAAGAAATGAAACTTAAATGTCAATCTATTATAGGTCAACCATTCACCTTCCAGCAAAACCTGATTCCTGTACCCCTATTTTGGATAAAGTTGTGGTATTGAACCTGGAAATGCCACTTTTGAATCATGATTGCTGGCCATAGAATAATAGAATCATAGAGTTGGAAGAGACCACAAACACCATCCAGCCTAACCCCCTGCAATGTAGAATAACACACATAAAGCATTCTGGACAGATGGCCATCCAGACTATGTTAAAAACCCTCCAAAGAAGGAGAGTTCTAGCCTGGCAATTGTATGGTATGAATTTGAATTAGGCAAAACATAGCCCTCCAGATGTTCCTGGACAGCAGACTGGACAAGTTACAGTTTTGAACCACAAATCAGAATCCCTCAGCAATATTCTATACTTATATAATGTAATGTTCGTTTGTGGGAGAAACATAACTCAGAAACCACTGGACGAATTGACATGAAATTTTGACACAATACACCTAACAGACCAGCAAGTGTCCATCACCCCAACAAACACACACATACAAAAACCAACAGAACAGACTTAAAAACCCAAAAATACACCATATATACATATACACATACGCTCATATACATATATACATGCACACATTCACACACACATGTATATATATTCACAAGCACACACAAATATACATATATACACACAGAGACATATATATATATACACATGCACACATACATATACACATGCAAACATACACATACACACATATACACAAATATAAGTGTACAAATACATATACACAAATATATGTGTACACATACATATACACAAATATGCATATAGACAAGCACACACATATACATTATATACATACACACATATAAACACACAAATACACAAATATATACATATATATACACACAAAACACATATACACAGACTGAGCCACAGCAACGTGTGGCAGGGGATGGCTAATAATAATAATAATAATAATAATAATAATAATAATACATCACACAGTCCTAGACGCTTGGGAAGTGTTCGACTTGTGATTTTGTGATATGAAATCCAGCATATAGATCTCGTTTGCTGTGACATGCTGTGCTTTTGTGTCAGTAAAATAATAATAATAATAATAATAATAATAATAATAATAATAAACTTTATTTGTATTCCACCCTATCTCCCCGAGGTGACTCAGGGTGGATTCCAACATAACAATGGTAAGTTGTGGTATGGAAAAAACTTTTCAGAATTCTGCCTAAAGCTTCTTTTTATTGCAATTCTAAATCTGCCCAATTTTCTGTTCTGGAAAAGCCTTCACATAAACAAAAACAGTGTTAACTGAATATGCAGAAAATGTCAATACAATTACACTAGAGGTAATGTTCTCCAAAGAGACTTTGCTTAGAGATCTTTGTCTTCCCATCTCATGCTGGAATTCTCCCAAAGGTGTTTGTTTTCATCTGAATCTCTCTGTGTGTGATGCTACAGGAAAAGGTATATAGTTTTCAATTGCTTACATTAAATGTATGACTGTACAGCCCTAAACCATTGCCATATTTTATATTAAAGTACAGCCACCTAGTGGTAGCAATAAATTTTCCCCTTCCTCTTTTTTAACCTACACAGCTCAATGGTCCTCCTACATTCTGTACTGGCTTCTTAAAATAGTTCAGCTGAAAAGGGAGGGAAGTGAAATACTGTCCCTTTGCTTAGAACACAATGATATTTTGAGTCACCCAAAGAACTTTTGGCGGCTTGTTTGTGACAGATATATTAGTCAAGGATAGAATTCACAGAGGAAGAATTGGGAAGGTGAGGTCTAGCTGTCTGCTCTCAGACACATTAAAAAAGAAATGGAAAAGAAGGGTTTTCTAAGGAGAATTAGGATGCATCTACACTGCAGAGTTAATGCAGATTGACAGCCCTTTAACTGCCATGGCTCCATCCTATGGAATCCTGAGTTGTGTTGTTTAGTGAAGTACCAGCACTCTTTGGCAAAGAACACAAAAGATCTTGTAAAACTGCAATTCCCATGATTCCATATCATTGAACCACAACAGTTACAGCGATGTCAAGTTGCATTAGCTGTACATTGTAGATGCACACCTGGGCTCCAACAAGTGACGTAACTTACAATTGCAGATCTTCCCATTTTTCATTCTTTTTTCCCATGTTTAAAATACACCTCAGAATAATTATAACGGTGCTTGTTAATTAGAGTCATATTATTGACTCTTAATGCACTCATGTGTTTGGAAATACAGCTCTTATTACATACCACTGATCTTGCCTGGTAGGGCTGATGGATGCTGTAGACCAAAAAAATCTGGAGGATTACAGGTTCTTACTAATTTTACAGCAAAGACAGGAGGGGGCCCTTTCAAATTGCATACCGTATATACTCGAGTATAAGCCAACCCAAATATAAGCCAGGGCACCTAATTTTACCATAAAAAAACTGGGAAAATGGATTGACTTGAGTATAAGCCAACGGTGGGAGATGCAGCAGCTACTGGTAAATTTCAAAATAAAAATAGATACCAATACAATTACATTAATTGAGGAATCTGTAGGTTAAATGTGTTTGAATATTTACATAAAACTGTAATTTTAGATAAGACTGCCCAAATCTGATTAAGCCATTATTCTAACCTTCATCAATGTAAATGTGCTTACATATCCTTCCAATAATAATAACAATAAAGTAAAATAATAAATGTAATAATAATAATAATAATAATAATAATAATAAGTATGGATCGTTGATGATGCACTCCCAGGCAACAGCAGAATTGAAGAGAAACAACTGGAAAAGCTGATATATGAGGATTTAAAGATCGAACTGCAAAAAGACTCTGGCACAAGCCAGTAAAAGTGTTCAGCACACTGTGTGCAGTGCCTAAAGACCATGGCCTGCACTTAAACACAATTGGCACTGACAAAATTACCACCTGCAAAAGGCCACCTTACTGGAATCTGCAACCATTATTCGCCAATACACCACACAGTGCTAGATACTTGGGAAGTGTCCGACGTGTGATCCAATACAACAGCCAGCAGTGTGATCTTGTTTTCTGTGGACTCATCTTGTTGTGTTTCAAATAATAATAATAACAGAGTAAAATAAATAACCTTGACTTGAGTATAAGCTGGGGGGGGGGGGGCTTGAGTATATACAGTAGTATATACAGTAAAATAGGCTTGTACTTGAGTATATACAGTAGTTATAGATTCCATTTTAGCTGCCATAGCTGTATCCTATGGAATCCTGGGATTTGTAGTTTGGTGAGGCAGTAGAGCTGTGGTTCTCAACCTGTGAGTCCCCAGATGTTTTGGCCTCCAACTCCCAGAAATCCTAATAACTGGAAAACTGGCTGGGATTTTTGGGAGTTATGGGCCAAAACATCTGGGGACCCACAGGTTGAGAACCACTGCACTAGAGCGCTTTAGAAGAAAAGTCTAACTGCCCTTCCCTAAACTATCCATATTAGGATTTCATGGGATGGAACCATGGCAAAGCAGCATCATGGCACCATGACTGTATATATGAAATGGCCCTGTGCATTAAGACTTAAGATTTTATTCTTTAGGTACACTTAATCTGTTTATGTCACTTGGTATGCACAGATTAAAGGAAATATGTGGAAATACAAATCATCCTAAGGGGGGAAAAATCTCAAACAAAACACTGAATTTACAATGGACAGATCTTAACATGAATTTCTATGGGTACATCTATACTGAAGAATCAATGCAGTTTGACATCAATGCTATGGGATTATAGGAGTTGTAATTTTCCAAGATTTCTAGCTTTTTCTGCCAAAGACTGCTGGTTCCTCACCAAATGACAACTCCCCTTATTCCATAGCTTTGAGCCATGGCAGTTAAAGTGTTGTCAAACTACAATACAATATAGTTGCACCCTATGTCTCTCTCAGCAAACCTTGACATCTCCAGGTATTTTGGACTTTGGCCCATTATCCATGACCATTATAATGACTGAGAACATGGAGTTTATAGTCCAAAACATCTGAAGGGGAGACACCAGATTGCCTACTTTTGATCTATTCTATTCTGTGCTTCAGAAAACAGATTGGTGTTCTTCAGTGTAAAACAGTAAGCTATCTCTTGGTGTCAATTGAGAAAAAATGAGAAAGAGAGGCCATTATTCAGTTTTGAATCTACTGAGCCCAACAGTCCTTTTCAGAATTATAATGGGAGAATTACAAGTACCTCGGGCTGGCATTGCAGTCTTTTTCTTCTTTCACAGGAGGCAAATATTCACATTCCGCTAAGAAAAGATTGGAGACAGTGAAACTATTAGCCTAAGGAATTTTTGAAGCATGTGTTCAATTTGAATAGCAATGACTACACGGTAGATTCCTGTAGGACATGAACATCATTTTTTTATTTTTAATATGTCTGCAGCCATTAGTCCATTTTAAAATCTTCATGAATATGTCGGAAGCCATGGTAACCTTTCCTTTATTTATTTCAATGCATTCTGCAGATTATATATATGAGCAGTGCTCATCCTCAGCACTTTGCCTTTGTCAGAAGCTAAAAATAAATTGGATAATAATAAAATACCCAACATACAATCATTTATTATCACATCTGTTCTTCTTCTGGATTACTCCAGCTGGACAGTTTGGGTGTTGTTTTGCTTTTAATGCTGTTGCTGGGGAGCACCCATCTAGTGTCGTGAAACCGGAATGGCTGATCCACTTTGAAGACCACTGGCAAGGTCTTTGCCTGGCACCACATGGGGAGAAATTAGGTTTACTCTAGGTCACCTTGGTAGACAAAGGATAGTGGGAAAACCCCTTCATGTAATGACAGGTGATGCTAAATAAAATTGACATATTTATACTATAAGGGTTCTACTATCTAAAAATATAGTATTGCAATGTCCTACGATGGGGCACTTCAGTCTCCCAGAGTCACACTTCTCTGCACAATGTACAAAGAACTAGAATTATTAATAATTTGGCAAAACTTTGTATGAATCAGAATGGGCAGAATGTCCAATATGAATACAATCCTTCTCATGTCTTGTTTGATAAGATTAAGACATGCCTGTTTCCAGTGTGTTCATTTCTCTTCTTCAAGAAGTTAGATGCCCTCCTCACTGGTCTCTTTCCACTGGATTTTTTAGTTAAATGGGCATATCACAATTAATTGATTATGAAAAAGGCCTTTGCATGGAATGTGCATATGATACATTTTTTCTTGTTGTCCTGTTTTGCCCCAGAAACAGCAACGAAAAAAGCTTTAATTCAGCAAAATAATACTAATGTAACAAACAGCAGCAAGGGAACAGAAGGTAAATCTTAAAAGCAAAGCAAGAAGTCTTACATCAGACATGAAACAAGAGTCTTTGGCAAAAAGTCTTTGTGAGGCATTTTGCAGATGCTGAAGATGCAAGCAAGGAAACAAGAGCACAGGAGCACTAAGTGGAATGGTTGCTGCCAGCACTGACCACTTGCTTTACTACTGATTTATAGCCCTCATCTCCCAGCACAGATGTTCCTAGGGTGAGGTCTGATTGCTCAGCGTCCTTGCAGCAATTCTAGCTGACCTTCTTTTTTCTTTTTTTGCCCTTTCGCGTTCCTGAAATGTTGGAACCAGCAGTATGTTTTCCTCGCCCTCTTCTTCCTCCTCAACACTTGGCCCCAAATTTCCAACTCCTACATCTTCAGCTTCCTGTTCTACCTCCCCCTTCTCTGAAGAGGAGTACACAACACATGTGTCATGTCTTTAAATAAATCATACAGAATAAATTACTGTTTGATGTGGACACATATTTATTTTATTTATTTATTTCGAGGTTTTAAATACCGACCCTCTCACCTTCAAAGAGGGATTCGGACCGGTTCACAACATGTGTTAACATACAAAAAATATACAATAACAACACAATGCCACTTCATTACACGATTAAAATATCAGCACCATACACATTAAAACATTATCATCACAGTTAAAAGAGCCAAATCGTCCAGCACCATCACAATTCCATTCATCATCCTCCTTTCATGTGGGCAAAGAATTAAATCAGTTGTCAAATGCCGCGTTCCACAACCAGGTCTTTGTTAGTTTCCTGAACGTCATGAGGGAGGGGGCAGTTCTGATCTCTAATGGCAGGGAGTTCCAAAGTCGAGGGGCCACCATCGAGAAGGCCCTGTCCCTCGTCCCCACCAGCCGTGCTTGTGCAGGTGGAGGGACCGAGAGCAGGGCCCCTCCAGACGATCTTAGTGGTCTTGATGGTTCGTAGGGGAGAATACGTTCGGAGAGGTAAACAGGGCCGGAGTCGTTTAGGGCTTTATAGGTTAACACCAGCACTTTGAATTGTGCTCGGAAGCTAATCGGCAGCCAGTGGAGTTCGAGTAACAGCGGAGTGGTGTGCTCCCTGTACCCCGCACCCGTTAGTAATCTGGCTGCCGCGCGTTGTACTTGCTGCAGCTTCCGGGCAGTCTTCAGAGGCAACCCCACGTAGAGAGCGTTGCAGTAATCTAAGCGGGATGTAACCAAAGCGTGTACTACCGTGGCCAAGTCAGCCTTCCCAAGGTACGGACGCAGCTGGCGCACAAGTTTTAATTGTGCGAATGCTCTCCTGACCACCGCTGAAACCTGGGGTTCCAGGCTCAGCGATGAATCCAGGACATAGCTCTATATGACATTTTTGTGGTCCTTATCGACCACGCCACAGGTATGCAAGTTCTTTCGGATCATTCACAGACAAATTATGGTGACCCTGCAAGAAAGCGCATTAATACTGGAGAACTGGGGTTCAAAGAGACAGGTTTGACCATGACCATGCAATGGGGTTTTTTTTCCTGAGCCACGATGTAAACTGAAGTCCGATATGCAATATGAAGGATAAGCGAACATGTAGCCATTTCAATGTTGTTGAACTGCAACACCCACCTCTTCTCACTATTGACTATGCTGCCTAGAATGGATGAGAGCCCCAGGGACCATACATTTTGTGCCTCTTCTGAATGCCAGACAGCACCAATTTTATAGCAAATTCATTACTTAGATTTTTTTAATCCTGAAAATATTTCAACCCTTTTCTGATTTCTGTATCTCCTTCTTGCCAAATGCCAAGCATTTTGTGACCCTCTTAGCTCAAACAAAGCACATTACTTGTGCCAAGGAGCTTGCTTTAACACAACAACAAGTGAAGCAAATAAGCGCTGCTGATTAAAAGAGGAGCCAGGAGGTACCGCTATAAGAATAATTGGATATATTCAATTTCTATCCAGATTGGACAATAATCACAACTAGCCATCTGCTTAAGAAGGAAACAATGATGTTTATTCCAGGTAACAGAGGGTAGGAGCCAACCTAAAATGACAGCAGGAAGGGAAGGATGTGGTCATAGCAACACGCCTGCAAGATGATCCTGGAGACAGCATGGAATAAAAAGTGCTAGGAGCCGTGAGTCAACAGTGGCATATTACAAAGCAAAACCCACCTCCACACCTTCTTAATATTACACTACAAATAAGTATTGAGGGCGCACTTTGCACAATTAAAAATATCACAGACATTTACTTTTTAAAATAAAGATTCCATCCTATAAATAGACACTTTCTTCCTTTCAAAATAAGAATTTCCACCCTATATAAAGAACACTTCCTTCCCTGGCATTTGCTTCTCCTGCTATTTTAGTATTTCAGAATATTAATACAAATGTAATTTAGAATATTTAGCCAAGACAAAGGGATGGGAGGATAGACACAGATTCATTAGAAAACAAAGAGGTCTGGAAATAGAACGGGATAAACACTAACCATTTCGTTTTAAGCTGTTCATCCATTTATCAAGCTCTTCCATCTCTATTTCCATTACCGAGGGTGTGTCTTCTTCAAAGATAGGGCTGAATAAGAAAACAAAAACATATTTTGAACCACACTGTTTTGGATTGTTCGCTTCGAGACAGAGATTTACAATACCATTTTTATATCAGCCATGTGTTAACCTGTCTTCACCTGTCAGTGAGTCTATTTTAGAGAAGCACGCATGAGTGCCACCGAATGAACATACATTGCTACTTTTAAAAATGGAGCAGACCAACCCTACCTCTAAGTCTAGCCATGTGATGCAAGCTGCTGCTAATATTCATTACAATCCTATATAAATTATGCACATAGCTGCCCACTTAGCCTTTGAACACAGGGAGAAGCTCATCGTGTAGATTCTCAGAAGTACAAAAGAATACCACAAATTAAGCTCTTGTAGCACTTTATCACAGAGCTCAAGGGATTTTATTTTTAGAAACTAGAACCCCCGCAATTCCTCAGCCAGACCAACCAACTGTAGTCCAGGTTTTGAGAGACATATTTTTAAAATGTAACTTTTCCAACTTCTTTTTTGTGTGTGTCAGGAGTGACTTGAGAAACTGCAAGTCGCTTCTGGTGTGAGAATTGGCCATCTGCAAGGACATTTCCCAGGGGACACCCGGATGTTTTGATGTTTTACCATCCTTGTGGGAGGCTTCTCTCATGTCCCCACATGGAGAGCTGGAGATGACATAGGGAGTTCATCCGTGTTCTCCCCGGATTCGAACCTCCAACCTGTCGGTCTTTAATCCTGTCAGCACAAGGGTTTAACCCACTGCTCTACCGGGGACTCCTTTTTCCAACTTCTGCTTTGCTAACATTTAATAAGATATGCTTGTTAAATGCCCAGTGTCTCTATTCTTGCAAAGGTGAAGGTTACTGACATTCATCAACCTTCATAGACAAGCAATCCAAATCTCCTCCATCCCATTCCCTCTCAGGCTCTCTTGTCTTCCCTATGCACCCATGAGGATCACCAAATACACTTTTAGGTTAAGCAATAATCCAGAAAATGAATTAGCTTGTCCAAATAGTGTATTGCGTCTTTTATAAAACATTGGTGACTGTAAAACAATCATGGAACTGCAACAAGACGGCAGAAATGAAAGTCTGTAGATTGCTTCAGTACTTCAAGAGTGGGAAAGAGCTTCGTACACTGAATAAGGAGATAGAAGGAGTTGGGTTAGAAGGGTTATCATCCTAAAAGACACAGTGAGATATATTAGTCGTCCTAGGGATCTATTGTTATAGGAAACTGGGAACTGTTGGAAATAGGTAGCCTTCTCAAGCCTCCTCTGTTTAATTATTTGTCTGTATATAATATGTTTTATTTACTGAAGTGTATATGTGTTCTTTGGTATGCAGTTTTCCTTAACTCTATGTTCTTGAGGTTATGGGAGGGGCTGCAGACCATGTGACCAGATCAGGGATTGTTTAGAACACAGTTTAAAAGTTGATAGTTGAGGTACGACAATTGAAGATGACAGTTGGAAAGAGACAGTTATAAAGGAGAGCTGTACAGACCTATATCGTGTTGAAATTGCTGATAAAGACTGAAAGGTAAAGACAAAAACTAAAATGTGCCTGTATATTTAAATGCATGAAATCGTGAGTAAAACAAACAAGTTATTTAAAAAGAAGTCTACTTGAATGTTGTCTTCTGAGAGTATGACATAGAAACAAGATATTTATGGGAGAGTAGATGTGTTCTGAACACTAAACAATGCTTCTGAAGATCTGCTAAACATATATATTTTGTGTATTGGCATATTCTCTGTTCTTAATAGTTCAGAGTCACCTGGAAATCAGTCTGGCAGCTGAAAACCAATTGCCAAAAATAAATACACGTGGATACCATTTCTTTTCTTAAAGACATAAAGATTATGATTTTTCCAATTGGTCATAATCCAATAGGTTATGATGCTAACAGGTCATAATCCTCCATTTGGTTATGTGACTAGCGATTATCCAATAGGAACTGCCCATTCCCTTCCCTCAACTACAATAGGACAATTGGTTACCTTGTAGTCTGTGGCCCCTTCTACACTGCCCTATATCTCAGGATCTGCTCCCAGATTACCTGCTTTAAACTGGATTATATGTGTCCCTACTGCCAGATAACCTGGGATAAGAAATTAATCTGGGATCAGCTCCCAGGATATAGGAGCAGTGTGGAAGGGGCCTATGTTGCTCTTGTCTATAAGAACTCAATAGACAAACATGAGTGTAGAACTAAAGAACGATGAGCAATCTGCAAATGTCTTACCTTTTGCAGTTTTCACTTTCTAGATCATCTGAAATGAAATGAAATATACTCAGAGAAGGCATAAGGTAAGATGAAAAGGACATAACTGTATAGCTTAATTAGAATGACCAGTAACCAGCAAAGGGAGGGGGCAGTTTCCAAGTGCCTCAGGCACATTATAGGTTAGCAGTCATATTCTTCAAGGTATCTTGTCTTCAGCCTGAAGCAGTTGTGTCTAGACAAAACATGCCTTGGGGTATTATGCATCCAACTCTTTCTCACACATGTGGAAACTACTTTTCCCCTTGAAATAACATAGAACTTAATGCCCATGGCTTGATTTCTGTGTCTCACTGCTATGTAATAATTATTAGTTGTGTAATTTTGTACCATACCCATTGAAGAAATAATAAGCCAGCATTGAGGGGCAGCTCTATCATTAGGCAGAGTGAGGTGATAGCTTTCAGCAGCAGATATTGGTAGGATGGTTGTTGTTGTTTACTTCAAGACAAATTTGACCTATAGTGACGACAAGGTGAACATATTAAAGGGTTTCCTTAGCATAATTGTTCAGAAGTGGATTGAATTTGTCATCCTCTGAGTCTAAGTTAGCATGAATTGCTCAAGGCATTCACAGCCATGAATGCATTTGAATCCTGGTTTCAAGAGTCATAGTCCAATGCTCAAACCACTATACCATGCTCTGTACTGGTAGGGTTGCCAGACTAAAAGCTAGAGATGGCTCCTAGGCCATTCATGGTTGGGAAGAAGATGGAATTTCAGCAGGTTTTACTAGTCACATAGTCAATTAATAAGAAACCTCTGCTAATATTCCCACTTCTACACAATCATTAGAGGGAATATTAGTAAATGCTTCTTGTTCCCTCTTCAGCGCAATCATTAGGAGCCCTCAGTGGCACAGCAGGTTAAACTGCTGAACTGAACTTGCTGACCGAAAGGTTGGCAATTTGAATCCGGGGAGCAGAGTGAGCTCCTGCTGTTAGGTTGGCAGAAGCCCAGATTCTGCCAACCTAACAGTTTGAAAACATACAAATGTGAGTAGAGCAATAGGTACCACTCTGGTGGGAAGGTATCAGCGTTCCATGCAGTCATGCCAGCCACATGACCTTGGAGGTGTCGACGGACAATGCCAGCTCTTTGGCTTAGAAATGGAGATGAGCACCACCATCCCAGAGTCGGACACAACCAGACTTAATGTTAAGGGAAACCTTTACCTTTATTTTACACAATCATTAATGGTACAGGAGTCATCTTCTGTTTCTAGCTCCCAAAACTGGAGAGAGGGAGCAGAAGGAGATCTCTAGCAAGTTTCATGAATTCTCTGGGTTTTTCATTTATATACATACACAGTCTATCCTGCATTCCTAACCTATTCTTCTATCATTGCTCTGATATTCCACCACCTGCACTGAAGTAAGTAAGGCAGATAGCAAAAACCTGTTTGGCAATCTCTCCTCTAACCCAAGGGGAGAAGCTTTACAAGGAATGAGAGTTAAATGCAAACCCCCTTTGCTCTCATGCCGCATTTCCTCTATCTCTGTGTTTGCCAAGTTACTTGAACTCAGAGTAGTGGTTATTTGTGAGGTACAGAGAAGAGGGTTGGATGGATATATGTGAACCATTCTCATTTCCCACAACATGTCAAGCTTTCTAAAACATTTATACTGGTGGTGATCACTGGATCAACCATATCATTGTGCACCTTAAGTTGCGGAGCAGTGGTAGAATTTTGGAAGAAAGGGCCTTCTCAGCGGTAGTCCGTCAGATGTGGAACGCCCTGCCTAGAGAGATAAGATTGGCCTCCTCCCTCCTGATCTTCCAAAGAAAGGTGAAAACCTGGCTTTTTGAGCAGGCCTTCCCAAATATGGCGTAGAGACACGATATTATGGAACCACTGATGACACAACTGGACAATGATTTGATTTGGAGAGGCTTTGATAATGTTCTTAAGGCTTTGTATGGTTTTTATATTTTTATATTGTTGTTAAGTTTTAATATTATTTTATTATTGTTTTTATCATTGTAACTGTTTCAGCATTGACTTGTTGCCTACTGTTAACCGCTCCGAGTCGCCTCTGGGCTGAGAGGGGCGGTATATATATGTAGTAAATAAATAAAGACAACTCTTTCTGTTCTGAAGTGTGATGACATGCCCATGCCTATGGGAAAACTAGTGTCAGGCTATACTCAGGGGCTATCTGTATACCTTCTGTAAGAGCCGTAGCAAACTACTGGAAGTGAGAGCGAGCTTGTGCTCGAGCTCACTCCGAAGCCCCGCCTTTTTCCCCCCGAGGCTGCTCTCTCTCTTGCTAGTGTGCCTGTTTTCCCTTGCTAGGGAAGCGATGCGAGTGTACTCTCGCAGTTGGCAGAATTCAACTGTGAGCGTACGCTCGCATCCCTGCCCTCTGCAATGGAAAACAGGCACGCTAGCAAGAGAGAGAGCAGCCTCGGGGGGAAAAAGGCGGGGCTTCGGAGCAAGCCCGAGCGCAAGCTTCCTGTAGTTTGCTGCGGCACGAGCGTATGCTCGCAACGCTGCCCTAGCAAAGGGAAATAGGCAGAGAAAGAGGCGGAGCATCGCTCGTGCTGGCTTAGTTTGCTCTCGCAAAATCCTAGTTTGCTACGGCTCTAAGTCTGAAACGCTTAGCAGACAGAGGCACTTTGAGGCAAGGTGAAAAGATAACCAAAGGAGTTTACTGAAAACAAGATGAATAAAGGGTTAACTCTGCCCAGGACTATCATAAGGTGACTTAAAACAATACATTACAAATGGAGATTTTGGGGTTGTAGTCATCTCTCTAGGGTCTTTGAAAGTCTCTTGCCTCTGATGCAAAGCAATAGTTATAAACTGTCTTAATCTTCCTTCTTGTGAAGCATAAACTGGTCATAAGCTTCTGTTGTCCTTTGGACTGCTGGTATAATAATACTGCTGAATACAGGGGCTAAGAATGCCTGTTTGAATTGCTTGGGCCTAGGATTACGAGATAATCCCAAGCCTAAATCACAGTAGCTCTGCTGTAGAAAGAAGAGAGTAGTCCAGCAAAGAGCTCTATACAGGGAAATGGAATAGATCAACTAAGGCTGGCCTCGGCTGGGGGGATTTTAAGCTCCACCCAAAACTAATACAAAGAAAGGTATCTACACTATTGGGAAAACCTATGAACAGGGGGAACTAAAGCAGAGGAGAGGAAAAGGCAGAGCTAAGACTTCACATGAAGCATACCCTGAACTCCATCTTATGTGAGTCCTCTATGCAAATATTATTTATTTATTTATTTATTTGCTTCATTTCTATACCGCATTTTTCAGCCCTTAACAGGCGACTCAATGCGGTTTACAGTGCAATTAAAACATAACAATGCAACAAACAGGATCAACAACATCGATCCACAACAATTAACAGTCAGACAAGACAAATCAACAAAACAACATATATAACGCCTCAGTTGAAATCAGATCCGTTCTCATAGTCCTTGTGCCGTTCCTATGTTCCATTTACCGTCTTCCTTGATTGGTTGCATTGCTTAGCCAAACGCTTGTTCATAAAGCCAGGTCTTGACCATTCTCCGAAACGTCAGCAACGAAGGTGCCTGTCTGATGTCTGCCGGCAAGGCATTCCATAGCCGAGGGGCCACCACTGAGAAGGCCCTGTCTCTCGTCCCCGCCAAGCGCGCCTGTGACGCAGGCGGGATCGAGAGCAGGGCCTCCCCAGACGATCTTAATGTTCTAGTCGGTTCATAGGTGGAGATGCGTTCGGAGAGGTAAGCGGGGCCAGAACCGTTTAGGGCTTTATAGGCTAAAGCCAGCACCTTGAATTGTGCCCGGTAGCGAATTGGCAGCCAGTGGAGCTGGCTCAGCAGAGGAGTGGTATGCTCCCTGAGTGCCGCTCCCGTTAGCAACCTGGCTGCCGAGCGCTGGACCATCTGAAGCTTCTGGGCAGTCTTCAAGGGCAACCCCACGTAGAGTGCGTTGCAGTAATCAATCCGGGATGTAACCAGAGCGTGGACCACCGTGGCCAAATCAGACTTCCCAAGGTACGGGCGCAGCTGGCGCACAAGTTTGAGTTGTGCAAATGCTCCCCTGGACACCGCCGAAACCTGGGGTTCCAAGCTTAGCGAAGAGTCCAGGATCACACCCAAGCTGCGAACCTGCGTCTTCAGGGGGAGTGTAACCCCGTCCAACACAGGCTGTAACCCTATACCCTGTTCGGCCTTTCGACTGACCAGGAGGACCTCTGTCTTCTGGATTTAATTTCAATCTGTTCGCCCTCATCCTGTCCGCTACAGCGGCCAAGCACCGGTTCAGGACTTGAACAGCCTCCTTAGTAGCAGGTGGGAAGGAGTAACAGAGTTGGACGTCATCTGCGTACAGATAACACCGCACCCCAAAACTCCGGATGATCTCTCCCAACGGCTTCATGTAGATGTTAAATAACATGGGGGACAATATTGAGCCCTGCGGAACCCCACAAGACAATGGTTGTGAGGTAGAGCAGTTGTCCCCCAGCAACACCTTCTGAGTACGGTCCTCTAGGAAGGACCTGAGCCACTGCAGAGCAGTGCCACCAAGGCCCATTCCCGCGAGGCGTCTCAGAAGGATACCGTGGTCGACGGTATCGAAGGCCGCTGAGAGGTCCAGCAGAACTAACAGGGACACACTCCCCCTGTCTAGCTCCCTGCGCAGATCATCCACTAAGGCGACCAAGGCTGTCTCGGTACCATGTCCCGGCCTGAAACCAGACTGTGCCGGATCTAGATAATCCGTGTCTACCAAGAATGCCTGGAGTTGTGAGGCCACCACACGTTCCAGGACTTTGCCCAAAAAGGGGAGATTGGAAACAGGCCGATAGTTGACGAATTGAGTGGGGTCCAGTGATGGTTTTTTCAACAGCGGTTTTATCACAGCTTGCTTTAAGCTGGCTGGAATTTTGCCTTCCCGAAGGGAGGCATTAACCACCACCTTCACCCACTCGGCCAATCCCCCTCTGGTCTCCTTTAGAAGCCAGGATGGGCAGGGGTCTAGGATGCATGT